AATGGAGGGGCACTATTCCTCCCACTGATACGAATGATGGGGCACTGTTCCTTCCCACTGATACGGATGATGGGGCACTATTCCTCCCACTGATACAAATGATGGGGCACTATTCCTTCCACTGATACGAATGATGGGGCACTATTCCTTCCACTGATAGGGATGATGGGGCACTATTCCTTCCACTGATACAAATGATGGGGCACTATTTCCTTCCACTGATATGAATGATGGGGCACTATTCCTTCCACTGATACGAATGATGGGGCACTATTCCTTCCACTGATACGAATGATGGGTCACTATTCCTTCCACTGATAAGAATGATGGGGCACTATTCCTTCCACTGATACGAATGATGGGGCACTATTCCTTCCACTGATACGAATGATGGGGCACTATTCCTCCCACGGATACGAATGATGGGGCACTATTCCTTCTATTGATACGAATGATGGGGCGCTATTCCTTCCACTGATACGAATGATGGGGAACTACTCCTCCCACTGATACAAATGATGGGGCACTATCCCTTCCACTGATACGAATGATGGGGCACTATTCCTTCCACTGATACGAATGACGGGGCACTATTCCTCCCACTGATACGAATGTCGGGGCACTATTCCTCCCACTGATACGAATGATGGGGCACTATTCCTCCACTGATACGAATGATGGGGCACTATTCCTCCCACTGATACGAATGATGGGGCACTATCTCTCTGACTAAAACCAATGATAGGGCACTATTCTTCTAAATAATACGATGGGCACTTTTTCTTTTCCTACTGACCACAGGCACTGTGTAATTTATTCACTACCACTGACCACCAAACCTAAGGCATTGTTTATTTCCATTGAATCCAGGACATTTTCTACCCCCACTGGCCACAATCTGCCCCCCCCCTAAAGTCTGAAGGACAATAAACTAGCCCTTTGTTTAGAAAGTTTGGAGACCCCTGGTCTAGACCTCTGCTGCTGTTTGAAAGGACTGCATCTCAAGTACCACTCCCCACCACCCCTGCAACCATCCACCAACCAGCCAGTCCTCCTCTATTGTCATTACTGTGCTTGCACCTCCCTTCTCACCACCATGCCTGAAACTACTCTACCACTGCACCTTGGCCAACTCACAAAACATTTACCACCATAGCTGACCCACATCTTCCTCCATCCCTCTGTTTTCACCTGGTGATCTGGCCAGTAACACAACTCCTCTGTTAGAGTGTCCCCACTCTGGATGACTAAGCACAGGGACACCTTTGGACTGCAACATTGTTAATCTGGGAGGAGGGGAATGTTAGATGCACTAGCAGACTTAGATACACTAAAAATTTAAGCTGAACTCCAGATAACACTTTAAAAGCAGTTATAGCAAACCCATTTTTTTTACCTTTGGGGTAAATGTTTTACATACATACATACATAAATAAATAAACGCTGATCATTGTAACTACCCCTATCAGCAGTAAATGGTTTGTCTCAACACTTTAAGGCTCCATGTGCATGGGATGTTTGGAAAATGCTTCTGAACGATGGAAACTGACTGCTGGAAACCGTATTTTTAAAAAACGTCTGTTTAGCCGCGTTTGCATAGCGCATTTATGTGCGTTTATGAGCGTTTGCATTTAGAAGCGTTTTTTAAAGATAACCTCAGGAGACCTTCCAAAATGCCCAGAATGCACTGAAAAACAGTAAAAAATTAACTATTTCAGACATTTTGAGAGAAATAGAGCAGAAGCAGAGAGAGCAGTATGTGTTGAGATGACCTGTCTTTTCTGGTTGTATTCACTATGGATCCCATCATGAGCATAATGCGGCACGTTCTACCATTTTTTCCCATTCGCACAAAAAACTGACTGCGCTGGTGTATCGGGTCCATTTGACAACATGGAAAATGCTTTGCGTGCATTTCTGATGATGAAAAAAGGCTTTGGACAGCATCTGGATATGGAACAGTTTAAAAAACGCTTCTAAAAGGAAACGCGGTTAGCCGCGTTTACAAGCATTTGCAAGCGTTTGGCGTTTGAAACACTGATAAAATCTACTCCTGAACACAAGTTTGGTGCGTTCAAAAAAATGACTGTAAACTCAACTGCCTGTAAACAACTGTAAATGACAGTGTACATGGAAATATTAGGGAGAGTTCAGGGGCTGCTGACAAAATGCAGAAAAGCTCCTAAACGTCAGTTTATCAGCTGCAGTGTACATGACCCCTAAATGCTATATTTCTGAAGAACAACTTCTTCTGATGAAAAACAACAGACTGGATCACTCAGTGAAAATAAAGAAAAGCAAGCTTTAAAAATAAAACTAATGCAGCCATCACATCTAAGAATTTGTAAGCTGCAATATATTACATGTTTTGTTTTAATACTGCTTTCATTTTATTGTTCCCTGTATTAACTAAATATAATTATTACAATACAATATTTTATGTGATTGTGGTCCTTTAAACATTCCTATAATTCCTGACTTTTCTTAGTTGTTTGGGATGTGTAGTCTATATATCTTGGTTTTTAAGATCTTCAGAGTCAAGGCAGTGCAGGTCAACTCAATACAGCTGATATTTTCTTAGCATATTTGGCTTCCTAGTAGAAAATTGAATTTCTGTCTGCTGTATATTTTGGCAGCAGAGGTCCTGTTCCCATTCTGCAATTTCCGGAGCATTTGCTGTGCTGTCATTTAGGTTCAAATAAATCCTTGATAGTGGGCCCTAAAGGTTTTTTTTCCCCATAGTTTATCACAGACAGGAAAGTGCAGGAGTGACCAGCTGTTCGGACTCGTGCATAAATGCTTTAAACATTGATTTCCAATCTGAAAATGAAGGACCTACTTGAAAGCTGTTAATACAATACCAATATGCATACAGTCCAATAATCTGGGGCATGAAAACAGGGCACATACATAGTTTCATAGTAAAGAAATCCTGCCAGATCGCTAAACAAATCAAATGTCATTATACTCACATCTAGGACGGCCCATGTTGCCTACCTCCATTCCATTTGTGAGTAGGGTGCAGCATGGTGTGCTGACGGCAGAGATCACACAGAGGCCCAGTAATATGAACTGTATATTGTACATTTAAAAGGTATAAGTGCAGGGCTATAAACGCATGTAACATCAATAACATGGATCAATAAAGTGCAGAGAAGTGCGTCAAAAGTGCAACTATGTGCATCAATATGCATTCGTGAGAACTGTAAAAAGTACTCCAGCGGGCAGTAAAAAACTGCTATTGTCCTTTGTGGAAGGGTAATAATTCCAAGTGCTCAAGTGCAAACGTGCAATTATTCATGAAGAACAGATGTGCAGAAATTCATGAAAGGAATCCACCCTTGGGACAGATGTACACTCACCAGATCAGGGGCGGACTGACCATTTGGAAACTCGGGCACTGCCCGAGGGCCCGGGGGTCAGTAGGGAGCCCCATGAGATGCCCCTGGTACCTTTTTCACAGGCTTTTTTTTGAGTTTGGGCAAAGACACAGGGGCCCCATGATCCCCTATTGCCCGGGGGCCCCATGAGTTTTCAGTCCGCCCCTGCACCAGACAGAAACTATTAATGCGCATTTGTTATTATCACACATCTGGGGGTGCAGTGGTCTACTGACAACTCCGGATCTAATCCAGTGGCTCCATCCATCCATCATCCATCCATTGGGGCAGCTCTCCTGTGATCCTGGGGGGGAGTCAGCTCAGCCACAGGAGCCAAAAGGTGCAAGATGGCTGCCGCTCAGTAGCAGTAGCAGCGGCGTGACGTCAGCAGTGAGGCTCCACCCAATGCGTTTTGTGCGACAGCACATCTTCAGGGGTACGCTCATATTTTTGTATATTATAAAAGTTCCAAGAAGGAACAAAGAGACCCAATGGGTACACAAAGCTGCCCGGAGCCACTTACGGGATACGTAGCAGCAATTTTGTAGCTTAAAAGATGCTGACAGCATCTGCAAGGAGGAGCGGGAATGTGGCCTGGATGGTCCAACCCAAATGGGAGACTTCTTTGTTGGAGATAGCATAGTCCCTGCGCTTTCCGTACTCCTCTGGAACCTTTCCGTACAACTCAGTGCTGTCCCAGACAGAAGGGGAATCTGTCCCTACACTACCCACTCAAACAGGGTGCACCAATTAGGGGGCTAAAATAAGCTTTGTCCTCCCTAAGAGGGGTGCGGAGGTCATGTGGGCCCCAATATCCAATCAGACAGCTGCTCCAAGGTGACAAAAGGAAATCATAGAGGAACTAAGTTCCACACAACGTCCTCCTGTGCTTCTGTATTGCCAATTAAGCTCAGTGCCACCTACAGCAAGGAGCACAGACCGCACCTGCCTAGACATTCCTTTCAGGATTCGACACTTCCAGGAGTGTCGGATGCTTGTGTCCCCAGCACCTTCTTTGGTTTTTCTTTCTGAGAGAATCGCAATGAGGTCCTTATGTACAGTAGATTTGAACATCATCAGAGGTTTTTTCACGTATATTTATATAAAACTGATATTGCATTTTAACAGTGTTAATATAATAGTGATTGGTATTGGTTTCTCAAAAAGTCCCATATATTCTATATTTATTTCACTAGGGAATTTTGATATTTCAAAGACCAATATGTCCATACATTATTGAGTTTTGTGTTGGTTGGTTCTTTTTCTGAGCCCTATGTTACTGCTGTGTGCTGTAATACCTAGGGAGAGGCTGAAAGAATAACAGCATGCAGCCAGAGCTGTGGAGGGGCGGACTGACCATTTGGAAACTCGGGCACTGCCCGAGGTTAGTAGGGGGCCCCATGAGATGCCACTGGTACCTTTTTCATAGGCTTTTTTGAGTTTGGGCAAGGACACAGGGGCCCCATGATCCCCTATTGCCCGGGGGCCCCATGAGTTGTCAGCCCGCCCCTGGTACCACCAGTCCTTCTGTACGGGGCCCAAGCCAGCAGGGGGCCCCAGGCAGCTGGGTGAATCAGATACAGGCAGGGAGGACGATCAGCATGGCTGGGGGGCAATTACTGGAACCAATCCCCTGTATGTCTCTTTCTGCAGGAGCTGAAAGCTGGCCTCTTCTCCTCTACCTCCCGCTGGCTTTCAGCTACTGCAAGAGAGCCATACAGGGGATTGGTTCCAGTAATTGCCCCCTTGCCACACCCATCATTCTCCCTGTGCACCATACATTTCCCCCTCCTGCCCAGGCCCCCCTGTGTGCCCCCACTCCCATAGTGCTCATCTTTCCCTCCTCATCTTTCTACCGGCAGCTGCAAGCACACAGTAGGATCCTTCAGGATGGAGTGGGGGAAGAGTCCGGTAAATATGTCACATTTACAAGCCCTTCCTTTCCTGAATGAACACAATGTGTTCATTCATAACTAAACCATAGTAAACTGTGTTTTTGTGGGGGGGGGGGGGGCTGTAAGGTTGGCTGTATGGCGCCCTATGATTTCTAACAGCAGCCCTGCATGCAGCAAGGAACACAGGCATCCAACACTACTAGAACTGATGGAGGATTTACCATTGGAACAGTAGGAAGGTAAGAGACACAGGACACTGGAGAGGTTAGTATATTATTATTATTATTATTATACAGGATTTATATAGCGCCAACAGTTTGCTCAGCGCTTTACAATATAATGGGAGACAATACAGCAACAATACAGTTCAATACAAGAGGGATTTGAGGGCCTAATCCTGGGAGCTTACAATCTAGGAGGGAGGGGCTAGTGGTACAAAGGTAGTAACTGTGGGGGATACACTAGTAGGAGGAGTAGAAGATTCCATTGTTAGCTGAGGGCAGGATAGGCTTCCCTGAAGAGAGAGGTTTCCAGAGATCGCCTAAAAGTGAGCAGAGTAGGCGATAGTCTGATAAATTGGGGTAGAGAGTTTCAGAGGTTGGGGGAAGCTCTGGAGAAGCCTCTTGCAATCCATGGAATTGGTGCTTTGATGTGTTTTATTGTCCATCTAAAGTCTCTTGTTTAAAGAACTTGGATTCAGTAAATTCTTTAGGTTTACATTGGGAGTAAATGCTGCTGACAAGCCAGCCACAATTAGATAGTGAAGGAAGAGAGTGGGTGGAATCCATGCCATTTGATGGTGTCATGCACTCTCCTGCTGGGACTACACATCGTATGAGCACTGCAGGCGGACAAGCCTGTAGGTTGAGCCTAGCGCAGCCATATGCTGACAAACAGTGTGGAGGAGGACTACCAGCAGTGATAATGATACCACTAAGAGCCAACGAATGGGCCAGACAATGTGTGTACTGTACAACATCAAACATTATCTGAAATATGTTACAGGTGAGACTGGGCTGGTCATAGATGGATCGAAATTTCGAGATTGTGGCTGCTCTGTATTTCCCAGAGTCCCACTGGAGGGATTGTGACATCACCCTTTTCTGGGTGCCTTAGATGGAAGACAGGGGTAAGGTAGGTATAAATCTAACTATCCTCTTCATGGGTGACATTGAGTGATTTGTAAAGGGATAGGAGGTTTTCACAGTATCTGCAGACCTTGCATTTTATTACCAGGTCTGTTTTAACACCCACAAGGCAGTTGGATGAATTACCTAGGTTAAGATATACCCATAATATCCTTAGTAATTATGTGGTTGCTATTAACTGAAAAAATCACTCAGCCTTTTTTTTTTATTCCATTATTGATTCTGCTGTTCTGCCTCTTTGCAGTAGGGCAATCCACAGTTTAGAGTAATTCTGTGTTTTGTGCATGCATGGCATAACAACGGGTTCATTTTCATGGTTATGCCTCCCTTCCCTCCACCTCTCTGTTTGGATGCCATTAGTAAAGAGAGGGAACCCTTAGTAAGCTCCAAATTGTGACTTGGAGCCTACACAAGTTTTAGAACTCTCTTGCCATGAGCATGTGACAGTGCATGGTGTCTGAGCAGCCAATCAAAAAGCATATCCTATATCTTGCCTTGGCACTTAATTTTAGTTGAAGTCTAAAGAGTGGCCACTTTAGGGCTCATGTACACTGCAGCTGATAAACTGACGTTCAGGAGCTGTTCAGCGTTTTTTTTTCAGCAGCCCCTGAACTCCCCCTAATGTTTTCCTATGTGTCCATGTGCACTATGTAGTTTATAGTCATTTACAGGCAGTTGAGTTTACAGTAATTTTTTTTTAACCCACCAATCTTGCATTTAGGAGTAGATTGTATCAGCGTTTCAAATGCCAAACGCGGCTAACCGCGTTTATAAGGGTTTGTGTTTAGAAGAGTTTTTTAACTGTTCCATGTCCAGATGCTGTCCAGAGCCTTTTTTCATCATCAGAAATGCATGCAAAATAATTTTCCATGTATTCAAATGGACCGGGTACACCAGCGCAGTACGTTCCAGGTTTCGCGTGAAGGAAAAAATGGTAGAACGTGCCGCATTATGCTCATGATGGGATCCATAGTGAATACAACCAGAAAAAACAGGTCATCTCAACACATACTGCTCTCTCTGCTTCTGCTCTCTCTATTTCTCTCAAAATGTCTGAAATAGTTACGTTTTTACTGTGTTCCAGTGCATTCTGGGCATTTTGCAAGGTCTACTGATGTTATACAGTATTTAAGAAACGCTTCCAAGCGCAAACGCGCATAAATGTGCATAAACGTGATATGCAAATGTGGCTAAACAGATGTTTTTTAACCTACATTTTCCAGCAGTCAGTTTCAATCGTTTCAGAAGTGTTTTCCAAACGTCCCGTGTACATGAGCCCTTACATTTTAACTGTTACCCTGACATTAGTGCTAAATCAGAATTTCAATTAATATCAGGAAGTTTTTAGACAATACAAAATGACAGAAGTATATATGTGTTGTTAACAGGGGCGGACTGACAACTCATGGGGCCCCCAGGCAATAGGGGCTCATGGGGCCCCTGTGTCCTACACCCAAAAAAGCCTATGAAAAAGCCAATTAAAGGTACCAGGGGCATCTCATGGGGCCCTCAGGCAGTGCCCGAGTGCTCGAATGGTCAGTCCGCCCCTGGTTGTTAACCAAATGAAGTTGTGATGTGCTGTGATATAAGATAAGGTATACCAGTATTGAACCAAACCACTACTGTTTCCCTTAGTGATTTAACTGCACAAAACCAGTCTGGTGTATCTGTTTATACATTCTGTTGTAAATGCATTTTCTTCATTTTTAATCTCATCTCTAATGTTGAACAAAGCTGTAGATGTTCATTGACTGATAGACAAGCGTATGCTGTACAGATGCATAAATATGCATAGAGTAGAGCTAGGGGCGGACTGACCATTAGAGCACTCGGCTGAGGGCCCAGGGTCAGTAGGGGGCCCCATGAAATGCCCCCGATACCTTTTAAAGGCTTTTTTGGGTGTGCTTTGAGTGTGGTCAAGGACACAGGGGCCCCATGATCCCCTATTGCCCCATGAGTTGTCAGTCCTCCCCTGGGTAGAGCAAACAAAGGTTAAAGGATGAGGTCTGCCACAAACACACAATCTACAATAAATGTAAAGTGGAAGGAAAATGATAAATGGTTTTCAACATGTTTTACAAATAAATATGTGAAATGTGTGGCGTGCATTTGTATTCAGCCCCCCCCCCCCCCCCCCCCCCCCGGAGTCAATACTTTGTAGAAACACCTTTTGCCGGAATTACAGCTGCAAGTCTTTTTGGTTTTGGCTCTACCAGCTTTGCACATTTAGAGAGTTAACTTTTTTCCCATTCTTCTTTGCAAAATAGCTCAAGCTCTGTCAGATTGGATGGAGAGCATCTGTGAACAGCAATTTTCAAGTCTTTCCACAGATTCTCAATTGGATTTAGGTCTGGACTTTGACTGGGCCATTCTAACATATGAATATGCTTTGATGTAAACCATTCCATTGTAGCTCTGGCTGTATGTTTAGGATCGTTGTCCTGCTGGAAGGTGAACCTCCGTCCCGGTCTCAGGTCTGTTGCAGACTCTAACAGGTTTTCTTCTACGATTGCCCTGTATTTGGCTCCATCCAACTCTGACCAGCTTCCCTGTCTCTGCTGAAGAAAAGCAAACACACAACATGATGCTGCCACCACCATGTTTCACGGTGGGGATGGTGTGTTCAGGGTGATGTGCAGTGTTAGTTTTCCCCCACACATAGTGTTTTGCTTTTAGGTCAAAAAGTTCAATTTTGGTCTCATCTGACCAGAGCACCTTCTTCCACACATTTGCTGTGTCCCCCACATGGCTTCTCGCAAACTGCAAATGGGACTTCTTATGGCTTTCTTTCTACAATGGCTTTCTTCTTGCCACTCTTTCATAAAGGCCAGATTTGTGGAGTGCACAACTAATAGGGGACAGATTCTACCCTGTTTTGTTTTTTATCTCCTGCTTTTCCATCTTCCCCAGTTTCCTATTGTTTCACACCATACAGTCCTCTCCTGACCCATATCCAGCTTGGTCTTTGGGAGGTGTGTACCTTCCTTCTCATTGACTGCCCCTTTCCAGCCCCTTTACCCTATTTAACTGACTCTCCCTAAGTCTGGACAGTGGTCTTGAAGAAGGAGCTTGGCGCATGCTCCGAAACGCGTCACCGCTCCATGCTCACGTCACTTCTGGTCCGTGGACAGCGTGCGTTCCAGCGTGTGCTCCACTGGTCCAGATAGAGCTGTGGCCATCTTTAACACCTCTTCTCAAGCTTCCCCTGCAGTTGCTGGTTGGCACAGTGGCTCCATCGCTTAGAGGACAGAGCCCGGCTATTGACAGATTACATTAGAGCCTGTTTTATACTACCACGTTGTAAGTGTTTTTAACCGCTTTTATTAAAAGTTGACCTTGGAATACTGTACTTAGAAGCGCCTTCCTGTTCCATCTTCAGATTCTACCCGCCTGAGCTGTGAATCTCTGTAGCTCCTCCAGAGTTACCATGGCCCTCTTGACTGCTTCTCTGATTAATGCTCTCCTTGCCTGGCCTGTCAGTTTAGGTATACTGCCATATCTTGGTAGGTTTGCAGTTGTGCCATACTCTTTCCAATTTCAGATGATGGATTGAATAGTGCTCCGTGAGTTGTTCAAAGCTTGGAATTTTATTTTATAGCCTAACCCAACCCTGCTTTAAACTTCTCC